AAGATGTACCTGATCCAGGCCATGGTTTTCATAATTACCTGTTACATATGCATCAAAGAGCTGGGCAGTGACCAAAGAGGACAGAAGAATATTTGTCTTTGAGTTGTAGAAAACTCAAAGGAGTAAGACTTTGTTATAAAAGAGTATTTGGTGTGGAAGATGGAAGGTTATGAAATCTATCATTACACTTGCATCCATAATTCAGCAATAGAATACACAGACTATGACAAGCATTTGGCTAAGACACAATTTGAGAATTTGGCATCTGAGAAAATCAGTAACATTCTCTTCAGTAATGTGAATCCTTCATAATTTCAAGAAATTTAAATATGACAGGTTAGAGAACATGAATTTTTAAAATGTATTCAGAATATATTTTATTTCAGTTACTACACAAATACTACATTTTCTAAAGTTTAAATTATTACTGATTTAATCTATTTTCACCCTGTTTTGGGGTATTACTCTGTAATTTATTCCTTTCTGTATATTTATTTATAACTCTTTCTTGGTTCTTTTTATACTGTGCTTAAATTTCTCTCATTATATACAAAACCAAAGCTAAACAAATGAACTCTGTCAATCTTTTGCCTCTCTTGTTCTTTTCTTCCATTCTTTCTGCACTTCACTACTTCACTTTTCCTTTACTCTTCACTTCTTTGTCTCCTTATTCTTGTTCCTGTCAGTCAGCCAAAACTGATCTGTCGGAAATCACAGATAATGATTTACTACCTAAATCTAGCTTATTTTCAACTTTGATTCTGTTTTAAAACTAATGTATAGATACATAGATATAGATATTTACCATTTCAAAACTCCACACATGGTGCAAGGGAGCACTGATGGCCTAGTGGGTAAAGAGTTGCACTTTCAACCCCGAGGAAGGTTCAGATCCACCAGCTGCTCCTCAAGAAAATGATGGGCAGCCTCAGAACATGTGCAGGAGAGCCAGTTCTCACTGGACAGCACATGTGCATTTCAGTGACAGTCTCTTCTCTTCTTCCTTCATGTTATGCACCCATCACCCTTATTCATTCTTAGCTTTTGTCCACATCCTTCTTGTTGAGATGCCTCCTCTGGTGCTTGTATCTCCACTTTTTGCTGGTTTTCTTCATACCTCTCTTCATTGTTGCAATCCAGGCTGAGAAGCCTCCTTTTCTCATTTTCAATTTACCCTGTAAATGTTACTTGTTACTTTGAGTTCTAATCCGTTTTCTTTTTTCAAGTTACATTAATTTTCTTTTAGTTTATCTAATAAATCTCTATCCTGTCTTGGTAAATAAACATTTTACTGGCTTCTGTCTGATAAAGAGGTTTTTGTTTTGTGTCTCTAGTTGGAATCAACCCATAGCTAACCCTCCAGAGGGCTTGCAAAGGCAGTAAATTGCATAGGAGGAGATTGCCCATTTTTCTCCCCCAGAGCCACTGGTTGATTCAAAACACGTACCTTTTCATTGACACCACAGTCCCTTATTACTAAGCCACCAAAACTTCCTCAATAAGAGATGGGAAGAGTTACCCTCTACTGTCCTTCCACTAAGTGTCTTACAAACACTGCACTTTACTTTCTTTAGTTTATAATGTGGAAACAATACATTAGTTTTTTCTTTTCCAGGTATGAATTATTAAATATGCTTTTTCAAATGATTTTTTACCCCCTCCGGAAATCTTGATGATATTTCCTTCCCATTGAAAATCATTGTTTTTTCATCCATTCTACTCAGGTATTTTTATTGAATCTGTGTAGTATATTTACAATTTTTTTTAATTTCTAGTCTAGACTGGCAGTTTAAGAACTGTTTATAAGCTGTTTGTTCAGCTATGTTTTTGTCCGATCTCTACCTGGACAGTCTGTGTTGTTTTTATGTACTGTTGATTAAGTTTCTGCTTATAGTGATCCTATAGGACGAGTAGGGTTTCCAATACTTTCTTTAGGGGAACAGATTGCTGTGTCTGTCTCCTGCTGAGCAGATGGTAGGTTCAAAGTGGTAACCTTTCATCATGGAAGTGTTTTAACTAGTGTGCACAGGGCTTCTTGAATAGGACAAAGATACTTTAAAATAGCTAATGTTAGATAGATCTTGGCAGAAAGCAGAGAGTACGAGAGCAATGTCTATCTGTGCTTCATTGACTATGCAAAGGCTTTTGACTCTGTGGATCATAACAAGCTATGGCTGACTCTGAAAAGAATGGGAATCCCAGACAATTTGATTGTGCTAATGTGAAACCTTTACTTGGACCAAGAGGCTGTCATCAGAACAGAGCAAGGAGACACTACATGGTTGAAAATCAAGAAGGAGGTCTGTCAGGGATGTATTTAGTCTCCATACCTTTTCAATCTGTATGCAGGACAAATCATTTGAGGCACTAGGCTGTACGAGGAGGAATGTGTCTTCAGCATTGGTGGAAGAGTCATCAACAACCTGTGTTATGCAGATGACACAATCCTGCTTCCTGAAACTGAGGAGGATCTAGAGTGCTTGCTGCAGAAGGTCAAGGACTGCAGCCTTCAATATGGATTGAAGCTCAACATCAAGAAGACCAGTATTCACACCACTGGGCCAATTGGCAGCATCAGTATGGATGGTGAAGAGATTGAGATAGTTAATAGTTTTAGTTTGCTTGCCTCCAGTCAACACTCTTGGTACCAGCAGCCAGGAAATCAAGAGACAAATTGCATTGGGAAAAGTCAGCTGTGAGGGACCTTTCCAGAGCACTGAAGAGCAATGATGTCAAGCTGGAGACTAAGGTGTGCCTGATCAGGGCTATAGTCTTTGCAGTTATGTGCTATGCATCAGAGAGTTGGACAGTGATTAGGGATGATAGAAAGAGAATTGATGCCTTTGAGCTGTGGTGCTGGAGAAGAGTGTTGAATATACTGTGGACTGCTAAGAGAACAAACAGGTTTGTCCTGGAGAGGGTAAAGCCAGAATGCTTCTTGGAGTCAAGGATTCTGAAGCTTTGTCTGACATACTTTGGCATGTTGCAAGGAGGCACTGGTCCTTGGAGAAGGACATCGTGTTTGGGAGAGTGGAGGGACGGCGCAGGAGAGGAAGACCCTCAATGAGACGGATCAATTCTGTGATTGGGGTGGTGGGAATGAGTGTGTCAGAGGTGGAGAGGTAGGCACAGGATAGAGCAGCATTTAGAGCTCTTGAGCAAGCGACTGAATGGCAAATAACAACAACAACAACAACTTTAAAATGGATCATGTCCTCAAAGTAAATGTATCTTTTCCACAAACTACCTCTTCCTGTATTATGTTGTTTAAGAAATGGTAGTAAAGCCATTTTTTAAAAAAAAATTATTATTTAATCTTCCATTTATTTTCAATTCACACATATTCTGGTAGTGTAATGGTTAAGTGCTTGGCTGATAAACAAATTAAAGCCATATTTTTAAAACTTTTTTTTTAATTTTTTATTATTTTTGTGTGAGTGTACCGTCAAATCAGATCTGACTGGTACAGGAGGAAATTGTCCCTCCTTCCCCGGCAGAGCATCTGGTGGATTCGAACCGTGAGCCTCTGGGATTGTAGTTGCAGGTTCTTGCCACTAGGCCACCAGAGCTCCCCAAAGCCATTTTTAATAAGCCATTTAAATTAGTTTGGATTACTCTGTCATTGAGATAGTTAAGATCTTTCCATTTTCCTCTATAATACTTTTTCCCATGTGTCTTTCTAGTGTTTCAGGTTCTCATATTTCTCATCTAATTTTTTCCAGTATTTCCTTAACTCATTTTTATGCCACCAGTCTCTATTCTATCTCTCCTTCTGCTTCAGACTATACTTTGAATTCATTTACTATCAAATCTATAATTTGTTAAGGTGCCTCCCTTATTTAAAACCCTTCATTGATTCCTGAAGAAGCTTTGGTGACTAGTCCATAGTGAGTTATGCTGCTAACACAAAGGCTGTGCATCTCTGGTGCTTTGAATCTACGAGTGGCTTCTTGGGAAAGATGGGCAGTCTCCTCCTTTGGGATTTACAGCCTTGGAAACCCAATAGAGACTTGGTGTGAGTCAGAACCAACTCAGTGGCAATTGATTGAGTTCAATGACTCCTTGTGGAATTCTGCAGTAGTTTTAAATCTAGTTTCCATCATGTTTGAGAATTTGATACAAAAAATCAGGTGACTTTCCAGAAAAAATAGTCATGCATATAGAACTATACAATTTTAAGGGATTTATAAATACTTGTTAATAGATATAGTTAAAGTGATTTTTGACTTCTAGGTTAAAGCTTAAACTTCCTAGCATGCTGTACTGTATAAGACAGTAAATACTGCTATTGATTTTACTGAAACTCCCTTATAACTTAGGATCTAGTTATGCCTAACAGTTTGCTTCATGCTGTTTTAAAAGGTTTCTGTACTTGCTTCTAATCATCTTTATGTCTAACAGTCATATCTGCTCCATACTCAGTAGATTCAGTGTTCTAACATTGACCCAGGTTTTACTTCATAAAGCTTTTCCTATTTCCACTTCATTTTTTCTTTCACAGAGTGACGAGCCATAGAGATGTAATTACCACTCTCTGGCAATGGGTCTAGGTAAATTTTAGAAGTTTTATTACTAAAATAAAAGAGTATTTGTAGCGAGAGACTGGAGAAATGAGATTAGAGTTAAAGTGGTTTGTGCTTTCACCACATCAGGAGAACAGTCTAAAAAGAGACAGTTGTTGAGTGCTATAGACCAGATTCCAACTGTCAGTGACAGCATGTGACAGAGCAACACTGCTACAGAGGGTTTTCTTGGCTGTTATCTTGATGCAGCAGAACACCAGTTCTTCACTCTTAGAGCTCCTGGGGAACTTTCTTTTGCTATGAAATCTGAGAAGACTTTCAGTGACATGTAAGTCACAGAAAGTAATTTTTTATGGTGTGAAGAAAAATTGGAGAAACTTTTTTGTTGTTATTTAGTTGAATAAGCTTAATTATGCGAAAATACACTTGTAAATAATAAACTTGAAACTGAAGAAATACGTTATTTTATGTTTTTAGGTTTTACACATCTGTAATTAGACCTCCTTGGAGTTCTGCCAGCCAACTCAATGGCGTCCTCTACTGCTGTGCCTCTAGGATTTCACTATGAAACAAAGTATGTTGTTCTCAGCTACTTGGGACTCCCCTCTCAGGAGAAGCTGCAGGAGCAGCATCTTTCCTCACCCCAAGGTATTATGTTTAACTCATGGTGTTACTAGGAAGTAATAAGAGCTTTACATATAAAGTATATTTTCATTTCTATCTAAATGATTTGTATGTTGTGTTTTTAAACTCTGTCACTCTAAAAAGGCTTCTAAAAAATAACTATCTTTCCTGCTCTTTCTTTTTTAAATACTGGTTTATTTTCTATTTGTATTTAGTACTTGGAAGCAACTACTGTTAATGCATTCTAAAAGCATTAAAAGAGTTGGAATTGACTGGAGGACTGTGGGTTTGGTGTTTGTTGTAATGACTAATGAGGAGCCCTGGTGTAGTGCATTATATGTTTGGCTGCTAACTCAAAGGAGATACAGTTTTACATAATAACTAATGACATCGATCATCTTTTTATGTAGTACCTGACCATTTGTGTTTTTTGTTTTGTGAATGCCTATTCGAAGTTTTTTGCCCAATTTTTAATTGGGCTATTTGTCTTTTTGTTGTTAAATTGTATGAGCTTTTTATATCTTCTGAGTACTAAACTTCTATCAAATATAAATTTACTCACACTCACTGCTGTTGAGTCATAATCAACTCCTAGCCGACCCTCCAGTGGCTTTTCAGAAGCTATGGGAGTAGATTGTCCATCTTTTTTCCATGGTTGGTGGCTTTGAACTACTTGACTTGGAGCAGCAATTCTTTACCCAGAATACCACCAGAGCTTTCATATACTTATTTTTTGAATGTACTTACAACAGTATTTTTCCTCTAATTGTATATTGTCTATTTTGAACTCATTAATCTCTTTTGCCCAAAACTCTTTGCCTAAACATTTAAAATGTTTTATTGTTTTCCATTATTTGGTGTTATTACCTCTCTTTGGTCTGAAGTAATATTTTAAATATGTTGTTGTTATTATGTATCATAGAGTCAGAACCAACCCATAGCTGACCCTCCAGCAGGTTTACAGAGGCAATTAATTGCATGGGATGAAATTGCCCATCCTTCTCCCATGGAGTTGCTGATGGCCTCACATTGTGTGCCTTCGGGATTGTAGCACAGCTTCTTGCCACTAGGCCATCAGAGCGCCCTTTTATTTTAAATATACCTCTCTTATATTTGTCATGCCTTTGGTATGCATTGCATCTCAATAATCAAGAAAACAAAGATTCTTACTACTATACCAATAGGCATCGTCATGATGGATAGAGAGGAGATTGAAAGTGTCAACAGCTTAATCTTACTTGGATTCACAATTAACCCCCTTGATTCCAGGTTTCAGGCAATAAGGAGACTCAGTGCAGTTGGAAAATCTGCAGTTAAGGGCCTCTCCAAATAATTGAAGAGTAATGATGTTAGAGGACTAATGTGCATCTAATTCAGGCCATAGTCTTTTCAATCAATTGCTATGCATCTGAGGTCTGAACATTGAATAAAGATGACAGAAAAACAATTGACACCTTTGAGTTTGGTGTTGGAAAAGAGCATTGAATATCCCATGGACGGCCAAGAGAACGAACAGATATGTCTTCAAGAGGGTGCAGCCGGAGTGCTTGTTGGAGGCAAGAATAATGAGGCTTAGCCTCACATACTTTGGACATGTTGCTAGGAGGTGCTATTCCTTGGAGAACGACATGATGCTGGGAAGGGTAGAGGGTCGCTGAAAGAGAGGAAGACCCTAGACAAGATGGATTGACATGGTGACTGCTGCAGTGGACTCCTGTGTATCAGGAAGTGTGAGGATGGTGCAGGACAGGGTTCAGATCTTTTGTTCGTAGGGTCACTGTGAGTCATACTTGACTCGATGGCACTTAACAACAACAACAACATATTTGCCTGTAATTCATCATTTAAGCTGACCACACTCACTGCTCTTGAGTTATTTCTGACCTAACAACAACCCTACACAGTGTAGACCTGCCCTATAAGCTTATCAACTTTTTTTCATTAAAAAAACATTGTTATTATTATTATTAATTTCAGTGAACATCTACAGAGATTTTGGAATTCCATTCATTCATTGTTGCACTTTTCTCCCCACTCACCCCACCCCCACCCCACCCCCAGTTTGCTCCTGTCCTTGAAAAGCAAAATATGGAAGCAAATTGCCATTCTCATTTCTTCTGAGAAGTGGCTGGGGTGTTCGAGCCACTGACCTTTCAGTTAGCAGTCAGGCTTTTAACCATTACACCATTAGGAGTCTTATTACTAGAGCTTGTTTGTTGTTGTTAATGTGCCGTTGAGTCAACCATGACTCATAGAGACCCTAAGAACAGTGGCTCTGAACTTAGCCTGCCCTATTCTGATCCAGCTTCACCCTCTCTCACACATTTGACCCTGTTACCACAGTCAGTGTCAATCCATCCCATCCAGGGGCTTCCTATTCCACATTGACCACTCTTCCGTAGATAATGTTCTTCTCTGAGGACTAGTTCCTCCTGGTAACTTGCCCAGAGTATATGAGGCAGAGATTCAAAATCCTTGCTTTTAACAAGCAAATTGGTTTTACTCTTTCTAGGACAGACCTATTTGTTCTCTTGGAAGTCCATGGTATATGTTCAGTCTTCTTCTCTAGCACCACATTGATTGGTCTCCTGTCATCTTTATTCATTGTCCAGCTCTCAGATGCATAGGAAGCAATTTAGAAGACCATGGCTCATGGATCAGGTGCACTTTATTCTCTAGACTGACATCATTACTCCTTAGCACTCTGGAGAGGTCCCTGACAGCAGTCTTTCTTAAAGCAATGCATCTTTTGATATCCTGACTGCTGGTGCCAAGAGTGTTGATCCAAGCAAGGTGAAGTCATCAACAACCTCAGTCCTTTCTCCATCTGTCATGATACCTGCCTGTGGACTGGTGGTGAGGATCTTTGTTTTCTTGATGTTGAGATGCAGTCCATATTGAAGGCTGCAGTCTTTGACCTCCTGCAACAGATGCTTCAAGGGCTTACCCATAGCTAATTCTTCTTTCTTTACTGTACCCATGGGAAATATACATTTAGGAAAAGTCATGCACCTAATTCTAATAAAGCCAATGAAATGTGAGTGGAAATTTTGTCATTTATAGGCTATGACATCACAAACAGAGATTTTTGTACACCAGTGTTCATAGCAGCATATTTCACTCTCGCAAGAACATGGAAACAGCCCAAATGTCCAACCACAAATGAATGGATTGAGAAATTATGGTACATTCACCCAATGGAATACTATACAGCACGTAGGAGCAATAACTTTGTAAATTATTACCTAACTTGGGGGCAGGGGGACTAGAGAGCATTATGCTGAGTAAACTAACACAGTCCCACAAGGACAAATACTGTATAAGACTGTTATTAGAGAATGAGTATAAGGATCCAGGAGGGGTAAGGGAGACTGGAAGCAGAGGGATGTGGATGTACAGGGGTAAGAGGGGATTAATCATTGGGTTGTACAATTTGATGGGCAGGGGGACAAGGAAAATTGAAAGAATTTGTTCAGATTTGTATTAGAATTTTGTAAATAAACTGGTAAAGGAAAAAAAAATTAAAATAAAGAGGCACTGCTGGCCAAGATTCCCAAAGCAAAAAAAAAAGAAAAGAATCTGCATGCCTTTTTCATGCTTTTTCCTGTGCCTTGTGTTGTATGTTTAGACTGAGGGGCGGGGCACACAAGGTTGGTGTGGCAGGTGTGGTAGTTTATATGTTCCTAATCTAAGAACTGGACAATGAATAAGGATGACAGAAGAAAAGTTGATGCCTTTGAACTGTGATGTTGGAGAAGAGAGTATTGAATATCTCAGTGTACTGACCTGCAACTAGGTAATTGACACAGTGACTACAACAGTGGATTAGAGATTGTGAAGATGGCATAGGATAGGACAGGGTTCAGATCTGCTGTTATGAGTTATATTTGATGTGACAGCACCTAACAAAAAGTGTATAGTAATGATATGGTGAACTACTTATCAGACTGGATTTCTGAATTGATTATATGAAGCAGCCTTCCTTTCTTCTACCTCCCAGGTTAGATTCATAACATGAGGAAGGAATGTATGTTTAAGTTAAACAATGAAATGTTATTACTACAGCATACACTTAGAAAATAAAAAAGAAGCCCACTAACATCAAATTATCACACTACCACTACAGTCAAGAAAAGAAAAATTCTCACCTTTGGACTGATGGGCAACATCATGGTAGATGGAGGAAGATGGAAACTGTTAACCACTTCAACATACTTGAATCCACAATAAATACACTTAGTACCAGCAGGAAACATAATGCACTGGGAAAGTGTGCAGTCAGGAATCTCTCCAAATTATTGAGGGGCAATATGTCAGTTTGAGGACTAAGGTGTGCCTGATTCAGGCCATGATCTTTTCAGTCACTTGCTGTGTATTTGAGAGCTGAATGGTAAATAAAGATGTTGGAAGAAATATTGATGCCTTTGAACTGTGATATTGGAGAAGAGTATAGAGTGTCTCATGGACTGCCAAAAGAACAAATAGTCGTGGAGGAGGTGCATCCAGAGTGCTCCTTGGAGGCAAAGATGATCAATTTCTCACTTCACCAAAGAAAACTTTCAGATGGCCAACAAGCACATGAAGAAATGTTCAAAATCCCTAGCTCTAAGAGAGATGCAAATCAAAACAACTATGCAATATCATCTCACCCCAGTCAGAATAGCAAAATTTAACAGAACAGCAAGCAACAAATGCTGACGAGGTTGTGGAGAAACAGGAACCCTTATTCACTGTTGGTGGGAGTGTAAAATGGTATAACCACTGTGGAAGGCGGTATGGTGCTTTCTCAAAAAGTTGCAAATAGAGATATTATTTGACCCAGAAATTCCACTACAGGGAATATACTCCAGATGACCATAACCACCACCCAAGCAGATAGATGCACACCTGTGTTTATCGTGGCTTTGTTCACAATAGCAAGGAGTTGGAAACAACCTAACTGCCCATCAACAAACGAATGGATAGAGAAGCTGTGGTATATTCACACAATGAAATACTACACTGCATTGAAAAACAAGGAACTC